GTCTCAGGGATGTGGTGGAAAAATCAGATTTAAGTTATAAAACAAATATTGGGTCAAGTACGATCAATTTACTGTTTGAGATGTGTGTATGATGTTACATTTTAACAATTTTAAATAAACTGTTTTAAGTGTGATGCTAAGACTCGGTACAACTTTGGTTTTAAATTAAAGGTTTGCATGAACTAGAGGTTTGACTTCACCACATTTCTTCATGCATGTTCAATTAATCTTATAACACATGCTTATAGAACATCTGGGCAAGAGGAATAAACAGCCTTTCTAGAAAAACAGATCAGGCTTTTATAATTCTACTTACACATCACTGCATCCAAACAATCCTGCAATGCTTAATCCAATTCTTCTCTGTCTTCCAGCAGCTAGAACAGGAACGAGTTGTTAATCTGTGCAGTAGGCAGGTATGACACTGGTTTGGATTCTAAATAATTCTTAGGACTAACAATTTCAGTGCTAAGGATCATGTAAGTGGGGAGGGCCAAGTTAAAGGACAGAAAGCTGCTAAGGATAACTAGCGGAGAAAATAAGTGATGAGAAAGGGATGATCAGGTGACTGGCTGGAAAGCTCGAATGGCAGTGTTTTGAGTTGCCCCTCCTGCCCCAAGGAGAAAGAGCTAAGTGTCTTAATGGCCATGCATGACTTAAATTTAGCATCTACCTCATTCAAAATTTTATCCTTTAGTACTTAGTTACCACTAAGGCCCTTGCCAGGAAAAATCCTGGCATCAAGAGACATTAGAGAAGAATAACATTAATCCACTCTATCGTTATATTAGATTAACAAATGAAATGATTGGCAAGATGCTGCCATAAATTGACACTGAAAGCATCTGGGAAGTATAGCAGCTCAGTCACATTAATCTCATGTTTCACAGTGGGATTCACCTGGGAGTATTCCAATAGAAAGCACTGTCAGAACTCCATCTCCCCTTCACAAGACATTTGATAACAAATAGGGATGCCAAAGCCAAACACCGGCACAGTTCAGTATGTAGTCTTTATTCCAATTAAAAGTACATTAGAAACAGCACACAGGACCAGCAGCGGCGTTCATGACAGTTCAACCCAATGCACTGCTGTCACAAGGTCATTCAGTTGTACTATTAAAGGTGTTTGAAACAAGTCTTCCATTCTACACGCAAGCACTCACTCACCTGCCATTTTAAATAGGTTTTAAACAGAATAAAAATAGATACACCCCAGAATACAAAAAGTTTAATTTTAACAGTTTTTCCACTAAAGACTTTATACAAATTGATAAAAGGGTGCACAATTTCCTAAAATTTTAGGTACATTTTAAATGAGCCTTTTTTTTTACTTGGTAAAAGGATCAACGTTCCTGTCTTTGAACAGAATATGATGGCCAAAATTGCAAAGAAAATTCATAGTTAAATTTACAATTTATACATTTATTTTGAAGTGATTCCTTCACTGAGTAGCAATCTGATGACTGCTCACGCATGTCCACTTTTCCCAAAAGAACTGTGCACCACAAAGTTAATGTTTAGGAGCATACTTCTGGAATTAGGGAGGAACAAAACCCCACCAACTTCCACTTGTGCATGGTAAGTGGTCCCAATTCAACTAAAAACCCAAACATAGAAGTTCTAAATAAAAACCTTCACTGGCAAGGGTCACATTGGGGGGCAAGGTTTGTAGGGCCTGATGACCTGTCTGCTTTGCGATACAAGCACAATGAAAGTAGAGTGCTTCCCATCAGTATTTTGGCTGAGCAATTTAACTCAAGACTGTGGTACTGAAACATGCTGTAACAGGCAAATTTGGTGTTCTCTTTATGGGTATTTTTGGTCAATACAAGCTATTTTGATTTTTTAATCAGATAAATATTCCTGTTTCCATTATTGATTGGTAGAGGCCAACAGCTTCATATGAGACTTCATATGGAGCTGCCCAGACAACAGCAGCATTTTAAAACTGGCACCACCTGCATAAAGGTAACTAGAATTCCCACTCCCCTGCCAAGACACACTAATATTTGTAGAGACACTAATCCCCCATTTGTAGGGGTGAATTTATTTGGGATATTAATTAGTACAGTCCTCTTTACGCTGCTGATCCCTCCCACTTTTATGAACCAAGATTTGGTTTGGCAAGGTTAACTGCCGCATATGGACTTCTATAGTAGTTAAGTAACACTGTCAACCACCGCACTGCTTTCGGAAGAGTGCTCATTCTAAAAAACAAAACTAAAAACAAAATACTCCCATTAAAAGCAACACAGCATCACTGAGAATATGAACTAGTGAGGAGATCTTCTGGACAATCTACAAAAACAGGGTAAATCCACCAGGAAGCCAGGAAAAAAAAAAAAAAGAAATCCTATTGTAGGTAAATTTAGCTTTTAGTCAAAACCGTCTGCCTTGCTTTTTAAAGTCAATGTCCATATATTTGGCTGAGTTTTGTTTTACTGATAACATATGTTAAAAACAGTATCCCAGTTAACAATGATAAAGCATTTGTTTATTCCTTTTAGATATTTACGTATTGGCCACTTTTTGGCAAGTCTATTTCTTAGAATTTAAAACATTTTCCCATTTTAAGGCTAAACTAAGAAATGTTAAAATCTTCTGTAAACATTTCCTCTTCTTCCCCAGAGCGGTACAATTTTAAGTCCAACTGCAATTTTTAAAGTGAGGTAATTTCTGTGTTTTCTTATCTTAAGAGTCCTTTTCACGACTGGCCAAAAGGTGTGCCAATCTGAGCGCTGAGCCAATTGTAGTGGGAGAGCTACCCCAGGAGGGTGTACACCAGTTTCAGCAGCTTCATATCAGTTGGCTATTTTTTCAATTTCATCCAAGTCATCAGTATCCAGTTTCTCTATCTTCTTGTCTGGAAGAGGAGATTAGAAGGGAATCAAAACTAGTGTATGTTATACAACAAAAGACCAGAAGATGAAACAAGATCCCACTTTCCTGCATCAATATTCCTGACGTGTGAAATTCCACTTCCATTCTTATCACAAGATGAATCAATCCCAATCCGTGATACAAGCAATGGAATTAAGTTTTATAAATCAAGTCTCAACAATGTGGCGAGTGAAAGTGGGAGTATGGGTAATATTCTTTTAATTCTTATGCATGCTTTAGTTTTTCTCTGTGCTTTGCATTGTTACACGTGGAATGTAAAAGGGTTGAAAAGCTGCTCTTGGGATATGAGGTGTTGTGTCACTAACTATCTGGGGTGGTATGAAGATTTGTTTAAAGGATGGGCCAAAACAAACCCAACTCAATGGAGGATCCAGAAGGACAATGGGAACCTCAACAGCCAAGAGGTTCACACACAGCAACCAATAAGGGAAGAGATTTCCCCCCACCTTTCAGCAGGGATGAGAAGAGTGGACCATGATACCACCTCAGCAGCACGGCTTTAGGGAGCCCTGGCCAACACTGGACATTCTGAACTCAATCTTAATCTTCGCCTTTCTATTCCAACCCACAGACTTTCAGATTCTGTATGCTGGGTGACTATGTTATCTTGCTCTGGAACAAGTTGTCTGGAGTCAAGGCAAATACGGAGTATTGTGCTCTGAAGGAGTACAGTACAAACCTCCAGCAGGAGTCTGGCTTGGCTGGATTCATTGCAGACAGCTAAAGGGAGATAGGATTGGTTGGTGCCCAAAGGCCCAGTGCCAGTCTTACAGGCCACTGGCATCCCGCTGTGGAACTGTGTGGATACTTGGGCTCAGCCCACTAGAAGGATCACTTCCATGGGATTGGCTGGCTATATGCTGGCGTGAAGACCATATTTTGTGGCTCTGACACACAGATCATTGGGCCATGCAAGTTTCAAAGATCAAACTGGAAACAATTTATTGGCACTAGGGGGCAATGTCTTTGTTGTAAGCTGATGGGCATTCAAATAACATTATGGTTTGCAGAGTATCATATTGAATAATGCCAACTAGCCAATGAGAACTGGATTGATATAGCAAGGCAAGGAAGATCTCCAAGGCACATTTGCCATGCATCATTTTGGAAGTTCACTATCTTATGATAGATATAGAAGTTATTCAGATATCAAAATGGGTTCCCATCTGCCCTTTAAACAGCAGTCACTGTTCTACCCTAAAACAAAGACAATTACATCAGAAGTTCTGTGGCACCTTATAGACTAACTGAAGTGTAGGAGCATAAGCTTTCGTGGGCAACGACCCACTTCGTCAGATGCATGCATCTGACGAAGTGGGTCGTTGCCCACGAAAGCTTATGCTCCTACACTTCAGTTAGTCTATAAGGTGCCACAGGACTCCTCGTCGCTTTTGCAGATTCAGACTAACACGGCTACCCCTCTGATATCAGAAGTTCTGTTTATTTAAATGTATACAAACAACTGGCTATTTCCCTAGTTTTCTCAATGTTATTTTTGAAATGAAATGCTACATAAAGTGCAGCTGTACCCTTGATAGACAATATGCAGCAAAGCAAAACAGTATAAGCCTAAGCAAAGACCAAGACCTCAGAGGCCCTCGGAAATATGAATTAGTCTCTCAGTGTCTGATAACACCATTGCTCAACATTCTACAGAAATAATGCTATAACCATGCAAGAGAAATTCATCTTAAGGGATCTTACTGAAATGCTCCTGAATTCTGTTGAGAATATTCATGCTGTGCTTGCTGTCTACCATGTTAACAGCCAGTCCTCGCTTGCCAAAACGACCTGTACGCCCAATCCGATGCAGATAAGTCTCATTATCTGGGTTGCCATCTTTATCCACAGGAAGGTCAAAGTTGATAACAACAGAGACCTGCTCTACATCAATGCCTGGGGGAAAAAAGCAGAGATATTACAACTCTCCATTAGCCCATTTTAAGCCAGAACAGCTTTAGCCCAGGGCTGTTTCAGAGTTTTGCCAGAATCGGGGGTCACCCGGTGCCATGGGTTTCAATGTCTTTCACAGAGCTGTACTATTACTGCCTCCAAGTTTCCAGGAAAGTTGAGCTAACCTGCCATGATGAAGCCTGTAACAATGTCAAGGGTGAACGATCAGCAAAACTTACAGGGATCTTCATAATGTATGGAAGAACATTTAAGGTATGGTATGACAATGAGACAATATTAGGTAACACAAGGGTGCTTAGTTTAACAGTTTCATACCAGAACTACACATTGATGCCTAGAAGCACTAATAAATTGCTCTCGTACATTTCAACACCCAGGCTAAAAGAGTCATTCAGCTTCAGCACTGTCCAGAATGCCTCATTTAGCTGAAACCTGCAGCACAGACTATTACAGGAGTTTACTCCTTTGACTGACCTCTAGTGATAATGAAATTGTTGTTGAGACAATTCAGGGCATGCGTTTGTTTGCGCACAGCACCCGCCAAGGCAGGGGGCAGCCACAGGATTCCTCAGCGTGCCCAAAGGACAAAGCAAGGAGACTGTCTGGAAGCAAAGATTCTTCACCCTAACTTCAGGTCACTTTAGAAAATCCTACGTTAAGCCATTCTGGGAGAGAAAGACATAACCCAATCCACACATGTCAAGGACAAGCCAAAGTTTTGGGGGACACTAGGTCTGTCAGCCTCTCCTGGAATGACTTTGTTAGGGACTCTCTTATATTAATCTAGCACAGGATACAAATTCTTCTCTAGGAGGTACAGCAATATTTTGTACGTCAGTCACGGACACCAAAGTTCCATCTCTAGTAAAACTACCCTCTCTTCCCTTCCCAAAATGCAGTGATATTGCAAGCTACCTCTGGCACAGACATTTGTGGTCACCAGCACTTTCTCTTTGCCCTCTCTGAAACGCTCGATCACCGCAGCCCTTTGTTCCACCATCATCTCACCACTTAGCAATGCTACCTGGTGACCTTCTTTTGACAGCTCTCCTGCCAACCAGCCTGCTGTTTTACGAGTCTGAAAAGTAAAGGAAGAGCAATCAAGATCCTTCTGGCAAGGCAGTATTTGAACTTCAAACAGAAATAGGCCTCTCAATAGAATGGAACTTTCAATCTGCTTATCCCAGGATTCTAGCATCATAGTTTAAAAGGATCAATGAACCCAAACCATTCCCATTTCCGTTTGAAAGCTATTATGATAAAATTCAGAGACACGTTTCTTATTTTCTTTTATATATGATAGTTCTTTGTATGTAGTCAGTTTCATCTACATTTTTCCTGTATACTCAGTTCCTCTGCTTGTCTGAGTCTCTCAGCAACAAATAAAAATAGGAAACTTATTTTAAGATCACATGCTTGCACCAAGAAGACTGGGACAAAAATGCAGTCTGCAGTACTACTAGCTATTCATTTTTGGAAACTAGCTTTATTTCAAGTTGAACAGGTCCCTTAAGATCATCCACTGAGAATCTCTGCTGAAGGGTTGAGTCAAGCAGCTATAAAAATCAGGACACCAGTTAATTTTTAAAGCCCTGACTATGTCAAACATTGCATTTAAGGCCATAGGAAGCAGCTCTTTGCTGTACTAGACACTTGGGTACAGAACACGTCCCTTAACATACCAATCTTCTCCCAATCTAGAGCTAAACTTTGCTAGAATGATCACCATGAGCATTTAATTAAAATTTGCAATTTCAGCAGCTTCCATAAAAAAGTGTCAGGATGCGTCATTGTTACAGCGCAAGCTTGTTGTGGGTGATCACCACCATTTAGAGGGAAATTTAGGCCCAACAGGGTTACAGACCAGCGGCAGGCTTTTTACCTACCCACACCACAAGACACATTTCTCTATCCCATTAAATCCTCTTTGCTTAGATTTTGACCATTTTGTTGTATGCATTTTGTTATCCAGCATCTTGAGATACCGGAGGTGCCGGGTGGCTAAATATCCTGGCTAACTCTTAGTTAACTAGAATAAATGCAGGAGAGTTCTATGGTGGTGAGGGATAGGGATAGGGTGCAGGTTCCAGGGTGGGGCCAGAGATGAGGGGTTTTGGGTGTGGAAGAGGGCTCTAGGCTGGGGCATGGGAGGGGTTTTGGGATGCTGGATCCAGGCAGCACCCACCTTGGGTGGCTCCCTGCAAGCAGGGACATGTTCCTGCTGCTCTTAGATGGAGATGCAGCTAGGCAGCTCTGTCAACTGCCTCTGCCTGCAGGTGCCGCTTCTGCAGCTCCCACTGGCTACAGTTCCCAGTGCACAGGAACAGGGGAGCCAGCGCTCAGATGGGGTGTGCATATGGTGCCCGGGTGACTGGTCCTCTGCCTAGGAGCATCAGGGATATGTACCTGTTTCTAAGGAGCCAGAGACAGCCAGGTATAGAGTCTACCAGCCCCACACCAACCAGACTATAAACCAGATTTTCCAAGATCAGCAATACCAGCTATAGCGCTTTCTGGTTGGTGAAATACCAAATAAAATAGCTTTTACTGTACTTTAACATGTATTTTCCTGACTTACAGCACCTCAAATGCTTTGGTTTTGGGGAGACTGCTTCCAAAATTGAAAACCAGGCACATAGCCACATGATGGCTGGAACCATGCACGCCACAAGCATGTTTAAGAGCAGCTGGTGCTGGATGGCTGCAGTATGTTTGCCTTGATTCAGTTTGACTATCACAATTTTAAGAAATCCAGTGTCCACAGGAGTCACTGAAACTACAGTAGGAACCATTTTTGTAAATAACTGTTGCTAGCAGGTTTCCAGCTTCAGCAGAGATAGGCCCAACAAGACAATTAGCGTTGAGACTGGCTGGGAAGGCAGATTCTTTCAACCTTCCCACTACATTTCCAAGAGAAGCTGAGGAACGGCTTGTTCCCCGTTTGTGTTCCTAACAGAGAACGACTCTGCCCTCAGTCCTGTTGCAAGGGGTCTATCACTAGGATTCCTGGCATTTGCAGATCCTATTTCAGAATGGGGCTGTTTTAATGAGAGCTCCCTTCTATTTAGGGCATGGCGCTGTTCCCTGCATTTTTCAGAATGACTCACATGACAGAAGATCATGGCCTGGGCGATGGTGATGGCTCCATAGATATTACAGAGAGCATGGAACTTCTCATCTCGATTATTGCACAAGACATAGTATTGCTTAATGGTATCCAGCGTCTCCTCCTCTCGCTTCAGTTTGATGATATTGGGGTCGGGAACAACTTTCTGGGCAAATTTCCATACAGAATCTTCGAAGGTGGCAGAAAACAGGAGCATCTGGCAGTCCCTGGGGAGCATTCTGCAAGGCAAAGTGACAAGTCAGGGTTTCCCTATTAAAAAGCATCAGCTCACTGGGACAGGATAAGCACAGCTGCAAAGCGACTCTCAGTCACTTACAAGCCTTCGGGCTCAGCCTTTTAAGTCTGTTAGGCTTTCGAAACACGAGCCTACGAATATCTGATCCCATCCCCACTCAATTTGCCAATGGCATCTAGATCAATTTGGACATTTTAAGCATGAATCCCACTCGGGATAGGAAGTGCTGTTCTCGCTCCTTGAAATAATTAAATGGCTTCAATGAATTTCTAGCTTTATGAACTGCCTGGAGCGGAGTTCAGTGTACCGTATATTCCGGCGTACAAGACGACCTCTGAAGTTAAAAAACATCCCCCAAAAATCGGGGGTCGTCTTGTACGCCGGATGCCCCGCCGCCGGAGCGGAGCCCCTCCGCGGCTTTGAAAGGCTCGGGGGGAGCCGGGGGGCGGGCGCCCCCGCG